GGAATTCCACCTAGTTGGGCAATCGGTTTTGATTTTTATTGCTCTTATCTTTTGTTGTTTTAGAAAACTCTTCCACTCTTGGTATCTCATGTTTGAGCTATTAATAGACATAATAGCATTTCTAATTTGGTTGTAGTATGGACTAATTGCTCTAATTCCATCCTGTACACATAAGTTAAAAACATGGCAAACATATCTAGTATGAAGTGCGTCGCCATCTAATATTACATCGGTCAAGTTTTGTTTGACATAATTAGCAGTATATGTCATTGAGGTTGCATTGTCAAATGTCATAGATATGATTTTTTCTCGAAGGTTGTATTAATTTATTGCTTCCATCAAATGGTGAGCAATGTTAATACCGGTGTGGGGGTATTCTAGCATTTTGAAATGAATTATTCGTTTTTGTAACAACCATTGATCATCTACCTAATGGCAAGCCACACATAAATAGTGATATTTATAATCACTATCCCAAGAATCGGCAATCAAAGACACACTACAATTACATTTACTCAATTCGTCCTGTAACCGCATTTTGTACTCTAGGAAGTTTTTCATGGCGGCGGAACGAACGGTTTTCCTAGAGATTCTTTTATGTTGGGGTTGTAATGCTTTGTTAATTTAAGTGTTAAATGGGTCACTTTCGGAGAAAATAAAAGGTTGTTCGGCGTGTACTATCATTTTCCCTAGTTCATCCCTATCCCTCTCATAGTTGTAGGTAAAGCCGTGTGGATGGAATTGGAAAATTTTTGGCTGGGTTGGATCACTAGCTGGTTTTGCACAATTTCTCATGTGTCTACATAAGTATCCCGTCCCGGACTTGGATTCTGCCGAGTATATATTACCACATATTTTACATTTTTCTCTTGTTTGGGCTTTATTTAGTACAAAATAATGCCATACATCACTTTTGCGGCTTTTGATATTTACCATGTCACTTTCCGTTAACCATTGCTCTTGTGTGTTTGGGAATTGGGTTTTTATAGATTCGGGGAATTGTTGGTTAGTAGTAGAACCGGAGGCATTTAGGGTATCTTCTTGGCTACCTTGGCTAAAATAAAAATTTTGTGGGTCAAAGAAATTAGGTGGGATTTGACCGAATTGTGGGTCAAAGAAATCTTGTTTGGGAATATTCTTATTCATGTTATAGGGTTGAAAACCGGAAGTACCATCGTGCCTAAATTGTTCAAAGCCTAGGGGGACGTTACCGGGGTCATTGGTCGGACTTGAAATTGGGGGGTTCATTGGATTGGGTGATTCCCTAGACCTATTACCACGGACAAATTGGGCTTTACTAGAGGATGATGGGTTGTTCATGTTTGGTGATGCCATAATTAACAATAATAATAATTAATAGCAACAATTTTAACAATAATAATAACAATAATAGTAATTACTAACAACAATTATAACAATAATAATAAAAATAATAATAATTAATAACAACAATTATAACAATAACAATAACAACAAAAATAAATTAAAGATTAGTTCAGATCTTACAACCGTGTTTCAACGCTTTCCACTAACTACGATTACGAACTTTTAATTTTTTTTTATATTAAAAAATAATACTTAGAGAATTTAAGAGATTAAGAGAATATAAGAGATTAAGAGAAGAGATTGTGAATTTGTGATTTGGAATGAAGAAGATGGAGGTATTTATAGAGAATTTGGGGAAAGTAGCCATTGGAAACAAAATGAAAAAAAACAACGTTGCTTAATGTTCTCCAATCTCCATTGTTTCCGTTGAGCAACGGTCATTTAGCGGGCCGGCACGCGGACCGTGCCTGACGGGCTGGCACGCGGGCCATAGGGCGGGCTCGTGTCGTGTCGTGCTATAAAAGGCCAACTTCTGTCCGTGAAACGGCCCACGGCACGCCTGGTAACCACCGTGCCACGTTGGACTTCGTGCCGTGCCGGGCCACCCGCAGGCCAACCCGGCCCGTGCCCAACTTTATAATATCTAAGTGTTATGTATTAAACTCCTCTTATGCCCAATATGTTGCTCATTCTCATCTTTTGTTGGCTGATCTTCTCTTCCTTTAGTGGGGGATTGTTGGAATAATGGAAGGAAATTTAAGGTAGTTAAATTCGGGGCCCGACCGAGCGAGCACCACCCTACCGGGCGACCGACCAGGTGAGCTCCTCCCGACCGGGCGCGAGAGCAATCGTAAAAATCTGGAATTCCGTCACCCTACCGAGCGAGATCCGCCCGACCGGGCGCGAGAGGGCGGTGGACTCCAACGGTTTCCTTGGATTCTTCTTTTGGTATGTTTTCTTGTAAACCCCATTTAAGAGGTTTTTATGGTGATTAACTCACCATGTTTTTCTGATTTTATTGACTCTATGATCTTCCATCTTCCTCCATCCTTCAATATAAATTGAAGGATGATCTTTTCTAAAAGGTGACTTGAAACACACTTGAAAAAACACAAGCTAAACACATTCTCTCTTTGGGCATAAGTTTTCATAGACTTCACCTCTCACTTTAAAGTACCTAATTTTTTTCGTTTGAGGATGATTAGGATAGCGTAGATTAGAGTAGTCTAGGTTGAGTTTTCATTTTACAATTCAATCATTCTAGGTAAACAGAGACTATGTGCTATGTTTGTGGTGCTCTTTTAATTTAATTACAAGTAGCAGCTTGTAATTTTGTTCCTATTTAATAAAAACATTAGTTTTCATTGTAGTTTCATTATTTATTTTGATATTTAGCTTCGGAATTATTCTTATTTGTCTCAAAAATTGTTACTATGTTTTGTTTATATTCATGTTATGTTCTAAATCTAGAGTTAGCTGTAAGTTTACGATTCATTTGTGATGCTTTCCATTATCAATGTATCTTTTAGTGGGTCCATGACTAATTATATTAAAGCTAGTGATATATCCTCTGTGCCTTACATTCTACTACGGAGTATTTTATAAGTTTCTTGCATTAGCGAGCTTTTGCTAGTTTAATTTCAAGTAGATTTGTAGCTAGAGCTAGTTTTATTCAGTTTTAGTTTTAGTTTTAGTTTTAGGTGGCGTTTGGTTTGGATAATGGAAACGGAGTGGAAAGGAAACAAATAAGAGGGGGGAAAGGAATCATTTAGCTATTACCTTTACATTTGTTTGGTTTAACTATGGAAAGGAATCAATTAAACTTTACTCCCTTTGTTCTTGTTTGGTCTACCTAATGGAAAGGAATCATTTGAAAATGCAACTACTTATAATAGGAAGTTTTTGCTATTTAATATATGAGCAATTTTACTTGATCAAGTTACATACCATTATTAAAATACCATAAAAATAAGTTAGGTATAATATTAAACTGATTATATCATAGCATAACAAGTACTTTTTGTAGGAAACCAAACAAATGTATACTACAAAATTCTGAAATTCAAGAACAAAATATGGTGTTCTAGCACCCATAAGCCTTAATTAAAGTTTCAGAGGCCTTACATTGTAGATGATTAGCAATACTCCCACCTACTTTTTCTTAAGGAGATCTAAAACATATTGTTTCTTCAAGTTAGTTGGAGCTTGAAAAAAGATTTGAAGCTTATGTTTTTCAGCCATGAGAATTGTTGCCACCTCTAAAGATTCCGAAGGAGAAACACCATCCAATTTCATAACTTCTTCTAACACCTTATTCACTTCATCATCCATTTTTTGCTCCCTTTCTTCGGCTTTGGACCATGAATTTGCCATAGTTCCAAGATTTGCATTTATGTGCTCAAAAATTTTCCCAAAAGTTTTAGATGTATTATGAAGAGAAGCTACTAACTCATTAGCATCATCTACCTTTTGATGTGTCTTTCCTTTCCGCTTCATTTCTTTCATCTTTGCTTTCTTGGAAGGAGTATTATCATCCTCTTTCTTCATTGGCCGCTTTTGGGATTGAGTTGTTGATTGAGTGGAATAGGTAGAATGAGTGGGAGAATCCATATAACCGTCTTCGTCACTCTCTATTGTCATAGACTGATTTGCAATCTCAACATTCATGTTATCAATAGCTCCAACAAATGATTTACTAACTTCTCCGGTTGCTTTATCTTTTGCATAGATTTCTGCAAGTGTCTCATAATGAGGAAAGGGTACTCCATACAACCCCTTTGCTTTCTTGTGAGCCTGCAATGTACATAAATCCTTAATCAACTTCATTTTCTTATTATGCTGATAAATATAGTCCTGTAAAATAGTCTGCAAACTGATAAATATAGTTTGAATTCAGTTTGATAGGCATGCAAAATACAATACCAAATCAAGAAAGTGATATTCTCATACAATACCAAATACAATACTCAAATCATAAAAAATGAATTTAATAACTACTCAAATCATAAAAAATGAAGAACATTAAAAAGCTTACTTACCTTAGCCCATTCATCAAATACAGTTTTCTCTACTTGCAAGATTTTTTTGTCCGAATCCCATCCAAATCCAGAAGTAGATAACATCTCTGCCATTGCACTATATTTCTCTGCCCAATGCTTAATCCTTGACTCAATGTGTGGATCAGCTTTCAAGCCACAATTAGGTAGCACAAATTTTATCATTTCTTCCAACTTATTCATGTAACCACTCTTGAAGCCACTTTCACTTTTCCATTTAGGATCGAGAGATAACTCATGTAAATATTTTATGAGCACCGTATCTTCCTCAAAGGTCCAAAAACGCTTATTCTTACCTCTTCCTCGATTGCTTCCCTCTTCTCCCATCATATACAACTTCAAAGAGAAAATTTACATATATCAAGACAATGAGTGCAAGAGTATAGGTATCATATGGTGTACTAGAAAAAAGTAAGTAAATTAAACATATCACTAAAGAAGCAATGTCGTAATTGCACTAGAAAAAAGTAAGTAAATTAAACATATCACTAAAAAAGTAAGTAAATCAAGTTACAGGATTCTAACAGTTTGGTCTTAGCACTAAAGAGTATTCTAACATGAGGTGATGCAGCAGCAACATCTTGTAATTTGAACCCACTACACCGAGGATCTTGACTGCTAAACTCTTCTACCTCTTGCCCTCCACCCATTAAACATATCTTGTGCTAGTTTGTTTCTAAAATTGGTCCACTGATCTGAAGTTGCAACACTTGTAATATATTCGGGTTCATCATCAGAATCATCATCGAAATCTTCACTCAACTCTTCTTCCTCTATATCATCAATAGGCATGACTCTTCTAATTAAGTTATGTAGTAAACAACAAGCCATCACGATACGACCTTGGGTGCGTATAGGAAAAAACGAGGGACTCCTAAGTGTGCTCCATCTCCCTTTAAGTAAACCAAAACACCTCTCTACCACATTTCTTGCCCTAGCATGTTTCATATTAAAATATTCCTCGGCACTTTCAGGTTGTTTATCTGTCCACTCTTTAAGGTGATATCGTTTCCCCCTATATGGAGCGAGAAATCCGTCGCAATTAGTGTAGCTCGCATCAACCAAATAATAATTACCTTCACAAATATAAAAATAAGATAATCACTAGATACCTTACTAACAACTATAATTATACTCACAAAAAACAAAAGACCTATTCCATTTACCTCGAGGTACCCTAAGACCATTTGGCCTAGAGAGAGCATTAAGAAGGACACGTACATCATGGGCTGATCCTTCCCACCCCGGAAGCACATAAATAAATTCCATATTAGGTGCACAAGCACCTAAAACATTCATAGCAATTGTGCCTTTCCTTGTTCGATATTTTCCCCTTTCTTGTGAAGTCACTCTTACGTTAATATAGGTACCATCTAGCGCTCCTAGACAACTCTACATTATAAAAGACAAAGATATGACTCATTTACATACATTACATGAAAATCTAACAGAAAAAAGAACATGAATGGAATTATACCTTGAAAGGTTGCCACCTTTCATCTTCACATTCATCAGATATCGCTATAGGCTTGTGCAATAAGTGTTCATGCAACTTCAAAATAGCCCTTAGACATAGGTTAAATTGTCGACTCACTGTTTCCCCACTTCTTAAAAAGAGATTTCCAATTGACCTATTATTTTGATGATGAGCCAATGTGTACAAAAACATTGCAACTATCTCTTGAAGAGTCATATTTCTTGTTCCACTTAAACCTCCTATATCTCTAAGCATCTCACAAATAATATTAAAAGTACGTCTATTGACACGAAGCTCACTTTTACAGCTTACATCACTCTGTCTTATTAAGTGACTCAAAAATAATGAGCGTAACAATTTCCTATTCCTTTTCCTTTCATTGATTTGAGCCCCTCTAATTGTAACAACGCTCATCAAATACCAAATCCAAAACAGCATAAAAACTACAATAATCATTGTAATAACCAATTGAACTTGTTTTGCTCTTTTTTTTCCAATACGAGCCATTTCAAGAACCTTAAAAATACATTCAATAGAAATAGATAAGATTCTAGTGCTACAACAAAATCATGCAGCTTAAAAATTTTCAGATTATGCAGCCTTATATCTAAACATTCAACATAAATAGATAAGATGCTTCTCAACATGTATTATTATTGCTTTAAAATACAATATCAAAGAACATTCCCTTAGATTAAACAAACGAAATTTGTGTGATCCACCTAATCTGTATTAAACAAAGGTACAGAGAAAACTAGATTATCAGGTACTTTGTGGTACAAAAAATTAGTCAAATAAATCAGAAATCAGAAAAATTAGGGAAAAAAACTCTAGAAATTAACACCATAAATAGAAAATAGCAATCAATAAATAGATCAAACATTCAAACGAAAATATAGATAAAAACTCAAATAATATTGCAATCAATCATGTATTTCGAGATAGAAAAATCAAAATATACAATCAATCAAATAGAAAGATTTATAAATTCAACAACAATTCAAAATCTAGGGTTTTGAGATAACATACCTAACTTGAACGAAATCTAGAGCTTCGATAACTTGGGAACGAAATCTAGAGCTTCGACCAAGCATATTTGTTGTTTTGACAGCCTTTCAAAAACAACAAATTTGTTGTTTTGACAGATTACTACACTGTTGATAATTAACTTGGTACTGCAATAGCAGAGTTTGCAATTTTTCCTTATATGGTGAGTTAAATGAAGGTATTTTGAGCTAAAAATTGAGTAATTGCTTTTAGAACTTGATTTGTTTGTGGCTTAATTTTTTAGAATTAGATAGTCATCTCTAAGAATCTAAGATCATTGCTTTATCTTAAGACTTATAGTGACATTTACAACGTTTTTGAGTAAGTGGGATGCAGCAAGTATCTTCCTTCAGTCATCAGTGTTGGATATTTTAGCAATTGAAAAATGAATTGTAATATTTTATTTTCATATCTTTTTGGGGGACACATGATCTAATTTAATTTTCAATAATCATGAAACTTGATTGAATTAAGAATGCTTAATATTTAAAATAGTTTTAAGTATTGCTCTTCTAATTTATCTATTTTAATTATATTTTGCAGATTATGACATATTGATAGGTGGAGACTAAAGGTGGATCGGAAATGACCCCATGAAGACGATTTATAGGTTCATATAGTTTAGTTAGCTTTTAGAATTGAACTTATGTGTTCTAGATAGTACATTTAATTTTCAAGTTCTTGCAAATTAAACTTATGAGCTCTATTTAAAGAGCTGGTAAACCATGTAACTTGTTTATTATTAATGAAAAATTTTGTTTTATCAATTCATTTGTGTATATAGAATACCTATTGTAGTTGTATTATTATATGATTACCAAGAAAAACACATGTTATTACTGTAACTAGTTAGGTACTCAGAAATCCAAATATTATAAAAGAGTAGAGGCACTATACATAAAATTGGGGGTGTTTTGAAAGCATTGCAATGCTTTTACGACGCTATTAATGTGCCTTTCTAGGTACCTAAATTGGTTATTCGTAAAAGGTTTATGGAGGCGCTTTAAAAGCGTAGTTAGCTACTGGCGACGCAATATTTTGCTATATCGACGCAAACTAAAAGCGCCGCAAGAGGGGTTAGCGGCATAGGCAAAGAAAGCGCTTTGCTAAGCGTCGGTATATGTGTTTGCGACGCTTTTTAGCGCGCAATAACCTTTTTTATAGTATCGCTATATGCATTTTCCATACTAGTGTAAGAGCCCTCATTCTAGCGAGATTATGAGTAGGAAAATTTCACTTTTGCTACCACCAAAACACACTTATTTCACTTTTGCTACCCGTTTAAATTTTTATTTTATTTTACTACCACACAAAAACACCTTTGTTAAAATTTTCTACTTTTTAACGGAATTCGTTACTGTTGGCGTTTGGGGGCCCCACTTATCTTCTTCTCTGTCCACGAATCTATCCCCTGTCAACCTAATTACTCCCTTTATCTCTCTATTGAATTCCCTCTGCCCCTAAATTTAACTCCATTGAAACTGAGTAATTTTTTTTCTTTTTTGACCACGAATCTTTCGTTTTCATCCATCAGCATCTCCATCTTTCTTTATCTCAACTTTTCTGCTAATTGAAGGTTTAACAAGCTTGCATGGAAGGTTTTGATTGGTACGGCAAAGCAGGGGAGGACGACTAAGTGGAAGGAGTCGTCATCTCCATTGTTCGAAGTTGTAAATTCTTCTGACAACGATTGATTACAAGGTAAAAAACCCTATCTATTTATAGTGGTCCAATAATGGGGGTAATTTTGCAATAATGTATGTTAGTTGGGGTATTTTTAGGAGAATATGCAGTAAACTCTAGATTAGTGAGCTTTCATTATTTTAAGCAATGTTGTTTAACTAATAAAAAATTGATGCTTACATAGTCATGTGGTAGGGTATGGGTGTATGAAATTGCCTTTTTTTGTAGATTGAATAGATTTAGTTACTGTTAGGAATTAAATAGTGTTTGATTTGTTTATTGCTATTTAATTGTAGATTAAAAAAATGGCTGATGGTGATGATAATGTTGATATTAAGCTTAGAATATTTGGGGGTTTGTGTTTAAGAACCGTAGGAGAATCCAGTATCAAGTGTATGAAGTTGGGTTCACTTATTGGAAAATGGATGTCCCTTTGACATACTTAACTGTAGGATATTTAAGATACTCATGTGTTGAAGGGATTAGGGACATGGGATGGGATGTACCTAAATATATGTACTGTGATACAAAGAAAAGGGTAAGACTTGTATGACTAGTAAAAGGAAGATAGAAATTGTTGAGGATGTACAAGGGTTACTAGAAGCTAAGCACAAGGATGGGTATTTAGAGGTATTTTGCATAGTTGACCCTACCCCTAGTGAGGACCCCCAGCAAATTTGTAGTTCCAGATAATTACCCAACCCCAAACCCATATGATTCCAGCTCACAGCAAACTACATCCAAGTCAAATCCACAAGTGTCAGGCCATACTCAAACTAGATCCAACCCAACCCAAACACATCCACATGAAAATTCACAAAAAATTGATCAACTTGTTGTGAGAAGGAGCCCAAGATCTGTTGATAAGGGGAAGGGTAAGTTGATTGAAAAAGGTGGTGATGCTGGTGTGAGGCTGCACAGGGCTAAAGGGAAGGGAACTGGGAAAAGTAAAACAAGGAGGGTACTGTAGTTAGAAGAAGAGGATGAATCAGGATTTGGGTCATCAAGCTCTGATGCAACTGATCTAGAAATTGATTGGGAGCCTAGGGAAGAAGAGGCAAACAATGATGATGATGAGTGGCATAGGCAAGCTAGAGAAGGCATCTTAACTACAGTAGAAAGTAGCTTGGAGGTTGTGAGACATAGGGCTGAAACTTCAGAGGGTGTAGTTGTGGAAAGGGAGGAGAAACTGAAACAACTAATTAAGGACATTGGTTGTAAGGAAGTGGAAGTGCATGATGAAGGTTCTGAATCAGATGAGCTTAGAAGTTTACATGGGTCAGATGAGGAAGAAGATGATAGTCCCTGGTTTCATGAAGAAACTTATTTCAAAAAAGCAGTTTTGCTAGTGAACAAGCTGCAGTTCAGCAACAACACCATTCTAAGGAAAGCCTTGAGGACACATGCAATAGAGAACAGATATGAGTATTACTATCTGCACAATGGTGGTGATAAGATAACCACATTCTGTAAGAGAAGGTGTAGGTATGAGTGGAATTCCAAAAGAAGCAAAGTGCCAGGGAGCTGCAAGTGTAGTGATAAGGTTAAAAAGTGCAATTTTAAGGTGGCTTCTAGAAGATTATACAACAGTTATGCTTGATAAATTAAAGATTTGAGGCTAAAGCATAGGTGTATGAGGAGTAAGATGAATTCAATGGTGAATGCTGAGTATCTTGCTGAGAAGTATGTTGAGGAATAGAGGCACAACCCAAGTTGGAAAATAAAAAGTTTTAGGGCTAGGGTGTTGAGTGACTTGGGCATAACAGTAGGGTATTCCAAAGCTTGGCTTGCTAGAGCTAGGGAAAAGCTGATGATTTATGGGTCAGCTGCAGAGCAATATGCCAGGCTTTGGGATTATGGCAAAGTTGTAATTAAGTACAGTCCTGGCTTTAGGGTGTGCATAGTGGTAGAAGGGGAAAAAACCAGCCCTGAACCACCACTTTTTATGAGGATGTACATCTATCTTCAACCATTGAGAAGTGGTTTCATAAAAGGATGCAGACCTTTGATAGGTGTTGATGGTTGTCATCTACAGGGAACCTACACAGGACAAACACTTGTGGCTGTTGGAAAAGATGAAAACAATAACATATATCCAATTGCTTGGGCTACAGTTGAAGTGGAGAATAAGGACACATGGTGCTGGTTCTTGGAATGTTTGAAAAGTTACCTTGATGATGTGTGTGAAGGTGGTTGTTGGACATTCATGTCTGACAGACAAAAGGTGAGCTTATATGCCCTAATTAGACTATTTATAGTAACTAATAAGATATGACTATTTATGCACTAATGTAATGATTGTTAATACAGGGTCTCCTTGAAGCCTTTGAATTGCAAGTCCCATTTGCTGAAAAGAGGTTCTGTGTCAGGCATATCTTGGCCAACTTCAAGCTTCAATTAAGTGGATCAACCTTCAAAGAGCTCTTATGGAATGCTGCTAGGGCTACAACATTGGTGACTCACTAAAATTGAGTTGAATGTGAGAAATGCTTAAATTTTGATTGATTGCTTAAACTGAGTTGAATGCCAATCTGCTAAAACTGAGTTGAATGTTTGCTTGCTTTATCTTTGATGTCAACCTTGTGGACTGATTTGAATGTCAATCTTGTCACCCGAGTTCAATGTGCTTTGATTCATTTTGCTACTTTTGGCTGAATTTGGACATATTGGTCAGTTTTGGTACATGAAACATTGATTTTGTTCTGCTATTTTTTGTTTGATGTGGT